GAATCACATCTTTAGGCCATATTTTTCAATAGGAACTTCTGGATTTTCAGATCCTTATCTCTTCCTTTCAATAGAGGTCACAAGCTTTCTCTTTGAGCTAACAGTTTGCAGCTCTGTTTGGCATTGTGAGTCCTCAGGCTCTCTGAAAAGCCAGTCTGACTTATTTATCAAATGAGTTACCAGCACAGATGGATAAAAGTACAAACACAAACCTCTAACAAATGTGAATCTGCCCATACCAGGGGCAGTTCTGCGGTGGATACAGAGGGGAAGCCTCCAGTCATTATGGATCTTGCTAAATTCAGTTCTAGCTGGACATTGTTGAAGCAGGATTGAATGTGGATTACATCATCAGTTTACATGTGGAGCTTGTGTAACTCTTTCCTGGAACTTCACCAGGTTTTAGAAAGTAGATTTTTACATATTATGCTCACACATAAGTGTTGGCATGAGGAAAAAATTCCTACAGTTAATAAATAAAACCAGGATGTCCCAAGAAATCTTAACACTCTTCCAGAGTGATTTTGGCACTTGTCCCTGGCCTTAAGAGTCCTTTATATTGTTCCATTATAGTCTGTTCTGTTCCTAATTACTTAAGAAACTGAACACCTTGGATAAATTCCCACCTGATGCTCTGGGGAAGGGACTGTGGAGACCTTTATGTAACTGTCCTTCAGCTGGGAAAGACAGAAACCATTGGCAGCACAGGCTGGAGAGAGCAATCACAGGGTAAGTTTTAATCAAGGATGGGAATAAGTGCAAGAATGTGCTGGTGTTTTGGAGTGGCTTGCACTAGAGATGTGCTGCAGTCATGCTTCAGTCAGCCAGGAGTGTCTGGGCCAGATTAAGGGTTCAGTTGTCTGCAATACTGACAGTGCAAAGCAACGGAGATGAGATTTTTTAGAAGCATCCAGTGGACCCGTGTGCTTTTGGAAACTTTACCCAGAAACTTCTGTGTGTAGGGACAATTTGAGCTATAAAAGATGAATAGTGATTTAAAAACAAAAAACCAAACTAAAACATTGCTTTAATATTTTAGTTAGCTCTTAAGTAAAGCAAAAAATGTGAGCTATTTCTTGAGTCAACAGTTGTTCTTGCCAAAGCCTACAGTGAACACTGGGTCAGGAGTGGTGCCTCACCCTCATGACCCCTAACCATGCTGAAACACAGCTTTGAAACCTCCTGCTCCCTTCACTCTGGTGTTTTCCTGGTTGTCCACTCTCCTTCTGATCATTCCCCTTGGTGTATTTTCGGTAGTTATTCCAAATCCTTTCTCCAGCTTTCTGTACGTGGGAGGCCCAAATGCTTCTTTTCTGCCCCATTTTTTGGTGATGATTCATGTACAAAATCATCACTATCCCTTTTTGAGGACTAAGAAAACTACCTTTTTATTTTTATATTCTATCCAGAAGAGAGCCTTAGCAAAAAGTTATAGTTGTGAATAATTTAACCATGTGCTACATTCAGCCTGGCTGAACAGAATAATTGAGGTTGAACACCTAGTCCAACAGCCCTTGTTTAAAGCAGGGTCAGCTAGAGCAGGTTGCCCAGGACCACGAGCAGTTGGGTTTTAAATGTGTGCAGGAATGGTCTGCAAACACTATTCCAGCATTCACCTTTACAGCAAAAGCAGGGCTCAGCTTCCTCCCCCCTTCTGCAAGTCATTTTATCCAAGTTCCTGTGGAGATCATTGTCCCTCTTGTCAAAGAGCTCCCTTTGTGTTTAGACTTGGTCTCCAGGTTCTCTGCTATTCTTGCTGCAGGACAAGTACCATAGCTGAGCCTTCACCAGGACTCATTCTGCAACCGAATTCTCATCCGGAGGTATTTTCTTCCTTTTCCCTGATAAAAGTTGTCTCAGCAATCCAGAAGGGTTTATGGAAGGGTATTTATTTTAAAGTCTTTCCAGCCTGCTGTGTTGGCTTATCCCTTTTCATGGTTCTCTCTCCTAGCTCCTTACTCTGTCCTGTCAGTGCCCAATGTCTGCTTCGGTAAAAGAGCAAAGCACAGAACGAAGAACCAAACCAAGAAGCTGTGATTTTACAGCACTGCATCCTGCCCTGTCTGTTCCTCACAGAGCTCTGCAGCAGCCTTTTGCATTTCAAAATTCCTTATCATACCCCAGCCCCTCCCTGGCTGGAATGAGCAATCCTAATTCTTTCAGTCATTGTGGCTGTTACAGTATTCTCACTTTCCCTTTTCTATGGACTGTACTTTATTTTCTGTATATTTATTATGTAGAAACATCATGTGGCTTGGTTCTTGAAACTGGGAATAAATCACTGATACATCTTCTGGTTTCTGGGTGGACTCTGGGAAGGATCTGAAGGCAACTTTAAGAAACTGTAAGAAATTATGGTGTGGAATTCTCGGGGTGAAGGTTGGTACATTGTTCCACTGTTCTTTGTTCTGCAGTAAGCACACTGTGACTATTCCAGGTTATCACTGATGCCATCTAGAGCAGAACTGACCTTTTCATTCCTGCTGGGACTTTGTGGGGTTTTACTTTGAAACCAGTATATACTTAAGCCCTTGTGGTATCCTGTGCACATCACAGGGGATGGAAGAAGCTGGCACTGGCCTGTGAGTGAGATCATTTGTGTATTTAACATCCCACATCTATGGCACGACCTATAGGCACTAAGAACAAACTACATCTATAGACACATTTATTTAAGCTTCTTTGGACAGGTTTAATGTCAGTTTGCCTGTTGTCTACAAAGTGCTACATACTTAGAATATGGGCTAGAAGGAATTTTTAAGCCCAGGTAGTAAATCTGTGGCTTCCAGAGTATCTACAGCTTCCAGAATCCATTTCCCTGTCCTGTTTGTGGACAAAGCCCCGAGCAGAAAGGTGGCTCTGAGAGCAGGTCAGGAGCAGTGAGGCAGCAAGGGGAGAGCAAGGGGCTGAAATGCAGATCCTGGGCAGAGCCTCAGGGGAGGGAAATCAGGACCTGCTGGTGCTCTCGGGGTCCTGACACGTTCCAGCAGGTAGAAAAGAACTTGCACAACAAAGATTTTGCTTTTGTAAATGGCAGTCCTATGTTTAGCAACGTTCTAAAAACAATGTGAGTGCAGCATTAGCTGAGAGAGCAGAAGCAGATCTGGACCAGGGTGCCAGAAAAGCTTTGTACAAGGGGGATTTTTTATTTAGAATGTTCCAAGGACACATGGGTTTGGAATGCTTTGGAACAAGAAAGCCAAGTCATTTTTCTGGGTGGTGGTTTTGTGTTTTGTGGGTTTTTTTTCCTTTCCTCCAGTTATCTAACACTGTCCCGGGTAGGTGAACTTAAATTACCCTTTTCAGTATCTAAATTTCTGAAGGAAGGTTTTTTCTCTGCATTTCTTTTTTTCCACATATCTACATTTTTATAAGTATGTCTTCAACTTAATTCTGCAGTACTTTTATTTGGACACTGACCTTTGAAAACAACAAGGCCATTGACTGTTATTTAGCACAGCATGCTGATCTGGGTGCATTTGAGCTTCCAGTACAGTAAATATTTATTGGACAGTAAATAAGATTCCTAAATAGATATATCCTTGCAATGAGGAGGACGGAGAAGGATAGAGGACCCAATCTGAGCTAAGACAGGAATGTCAAAGTTATTTAACTATTCGTGTGTTGTGGGAAAACAGCTCCTTCATCTAATGGATTTTATTTCTCAAAATACCTTTGCATACTCTTCTCTCCTATCACTAATGATAAAAAGCAAAGCATTTCTGGTAGTTGAGAATAATACTGGAGTGAGGGCCACCTCTTGTTGAACGGTGTTGTATTTTGCTAATTCCCAGGCTGTAATGATAAAATCTGAATTTGACCATGACACTACACCTGAATTTCTCTTGTAACTGCATTTAAAATGTCCTCAGTGGCTCGTTTGGCTGCTCGTGTCTCTCAGTCGCTCAGACTGACCTTCCACAAGGTGGCACTTCAGGTATCCTGATGGAATCTGTTCTGTGCTTCCTTACATCAGACAGGCTGCATTACAGAGCTCATCTGTACCGTGCTGCCTTTGGCTGTCAGTGTCTCAGGGCTGGGGCAGGATGGAGCCCTGTACCCCCAGGAACAGCCCCTCGGAATGCAGGCACACTGTGTGGTGTGTGATTGTACAGTGACTGTCCTGCTCAGCTTTTGTGCCTGTTGGCTGTTTTCCCTGGGAAGTGCATCCCAGCAAGGCTCTGTCAGTGCTGCAGCTGGAGGGGGTGGCAGCTCAGGAGCGGTGGCTGCAGGTCACTGCACACGGATGTGGCCACAAGTGTGGGAGTGGGGCAGCTGCAGTTCACAGGGGCCAGGCTGGGTTTAGAGGAATGAGGACCAACTATCACGGGAAGAGAGGCAGGATTTTTATGGAGGGTAATGTATCTGATTGATACAATGCTAATGTAACTGTATATAACTTTAAAAGCCCTCGAGAAACCATGAATACGTAATTCTGGAATATGCTTAGTTTCTCTTGTGGTGTTAATATACCAAGTGCTGAGATTTTCAGATTACTCATCCAGAGGCATGAGTAATTTTTGAAAAAGGCCTCTAATTATGTGGTAAAAAAGTCAGATGTTCGTCATTACAGGTCTGTAGAAATGTTCTGTTTAAACTGTTTATATTAGCTTTTGAAGGGGTTGTGATCTCGTTTTTCTCAGTGCTGTACAAACATGCTCTGAAAAATATTCCCTGCCCATGCAATAGAACTGCAATTGGGGGTAGGAAATTCAGAGAGCTCAAGTGACTTATGAAATGTCATTCAAGTCTGGAAATAACCTTAATATATAGGTTGTTTTTGTCTATCAGGTAATGCTTCTGTTAAGTAACAGTGTAAACTCTTCTTTTCACATAGATGTCTTCTGTTATTCCTCAGCATCTTTCCCACTTGTAGAAAGAGGCCAGGAAAGGACTCTTTATCCTGGAGTGATTGTGTCGAGACATAGGACTCGGAAATCTTTCTACCCATTGCTTTTAAAATCACATTCTGATTTTACATTAACACTTTTCATATCTAGGCATAGCTGAAAAGTGCTCTGAAGGACAGGACAGACTGAAGCAAAGCTCCTGCTGCTGCACAGTGACTGTGGTGCTGTTGGAGTGCTGGACAGTGAGCAGAAGCCTGCAGGGAGCTGTGGAACTGAGGTACCATTGACAGGGATGAAAACCTTTCTGTCCCACTCACAGGAGTCGTTCCTGCCTATTGAGCTCCCTGAGGATGCCCAGGGCAGTCAGAGCCCCTGTCCCTGGCAGGGCAGGTGCCAGTGCTCTCTGCTGTGATGCCCAGGGCAGTCAGAGCCCCTGTCCCTGGCAGGGCAGGTGCCAGTGCTCTCTGCTCTGACCCAGCTCCCTGGCTGGGGGAGCCGATGCCTTTGCATCCAACATTCCATTTCGGAATGCTGGGACAGGAGCTTTCCATTCTTTGGTTGTGTATTGGGAGTGAGGGGAATGTGATTGCACAGCTGTGGGGGCTGTTGCCCTGGTTGGGTTCAGGACCTGCAGCTGAGCTTCTCCTCTGCACTGCCTTTGAGAGCCTTTCCTGGACCGAACTGGGGGAGTGGATGGTGGTTATCACTGAGCAGGAGGAGTTTGCCCATCCCATGTTCCATCAGTGTGTGAGAGATCCAGGTAAAACCCAGCTTACAATATAACCAGGCCTTTTCAGACCCAGCTTGGTTTTTATTTCTGTTGAGATGACGAACGCCCTGAGTGGGGCAGTCAGAATGAGGGGAAAGGTGACTGGAACTTGCTGGCAGGAGTTTAATGAGTGTGGGAGGAGGGAGCCAGGACACAGCTGGTCAGTGTGGCCTCACTGCATGGGGGAGGGCAGCAGCCCAGCCCTGTCAGCATGAACAGAACCCTGCAGCTGAAAGGTTAAAAATGCACCCGTCGGTCTCAAACTGGCACTTCAGGGGTTGGCTGCCCTGCTTTTGGAAGGGGCCAAAAATGTGAAAATGTTAGACTGGAGAAACTAGAGTCCTTCTGTGCTGCTCTCAGCAGCAGCTAGGGAATTTAAAGAGCAGCTGAAGACGTTATGAAAGCAAGAAAGGGACCTCTGAATTTCTGTTTTCACATAAATGGACACAGCATGTGATGGACTGAAGCAGACTGTTCAGATCAACTCTGAATTATCTGTGCAGGCTGCTGCTGTGAGCCAGAGGAAGGAAAGACTTGCAGCTGTAACTTAAAGAAGCTGCCACCATAAATGGGGCTGCAGGCACATCAAGGTTTCTATAATCTATTTTATTTATTAACTCAATATTTTGGACAAACATTTAATAGTCTTCCATCATGTAGGGCTGTGTATTGACCGTGGGAGTAGTTGTGCACCTTGTTTCAGTCCTGCTGTTTTCTGAGAAGAGTCTGAGGAGGTTGTTGCAGGACAGGTTAGGAGCACATCCCTAAGAAATGCAGAGGGACTGGCAGCCCACATAGGCATGACCATTTTAACTGGTTAGTGTTACTGTGTTTTACCTCTGTACAGGGACTTAAAAATACTCTGGGCTTTCCTTTGATAGTTTTGGGATGGAGGGAGACTGGTCTAGCTTAAAGCTTTAGACAAGACATGATCATTTTTAGTATTAATTTGTCTTTTTCCATGCTTAGAAACTCAAGGAAAATGCAAAGCCCTACAAGAGAAGCAGCAATCTGATCCTAGTTTGATTAATCTTCACTTTACCAAGTTTCTTCTAAGACTGTGAGATTACTGCCTTGGTGTGTCAAAAAACACTGTACCTTTTCTATATTACAAATCATCATGACGTATCAATTATGTAGGAAGGCTAATCCAAATGCCCTCAGAACTAATTGGAATGTTTAGCTTTGCTTCAACAGGCCTTTCTATTTAATGTGGCGTGATTTGGCTCAGACCCTTTCTGAAAACAAAACACACAAGATGTTCCAAAAGTAAGTTTTTGGTAATGTTGACAGGCACCTTCAGCACCAACAGCCTCTCCTGGTAGTGTTTCAGATGAGGAGATTGAAGTGGATAATTAACATTTATGAGCTGTATTTATATGCTGAAAAAAGTTTACTGTTTTATCCCTTAAAGATTGACTGCCTTGCTCAACACTAAACTGAGTGAAACCTGGAGGATAATGACCTTGTTTTTATGGCAAATGTAAGGAACTGGCTAAGGTTGTATGCAATTCTGGCAGCTATCTTATGGTATCTCAGCTAACAAATTCCCTTTCATCCCTCACTGGTACTCAGCCAGAATTATCTCCTTTGTGATGCCTGATATTAGAATGTTATAATGACACTCTATGAAGTTGAAATTGAGGATTGTTTTAATGTGCTGCTCAGACACTTCTTGTATGTCCTGGACTTGTTTCAGAACAGCCTGCTGTTTGTGAGGTCAAATAAGCCAGGCAGGTTTTTGAGTTAGAGGCTGGTGGGGTCCCTGCTGTCCTCCCAGCAGCATTTCCTCAGGACAGGGCCCCTCTGGAGGTGTGGGCTGGGGCCATTCCAGTGCAAACGCTGGCATCTGTATTTCCCAGTTCAGAGCAGCTCTGTGCTGAGCAGTGTCCTGTGGCACAGGATGGAAGTGTGGCACCTCTGTCCAGGGGTGCTGCTAAACCAGCAAGGTCCCTCCAAGGACTTGTCTCCCCTAATCAGCTGGAGATGGGATTGTTTCCCTTAAGGCTCTTTTTCTCCCTCTGCCAGCTGTCCCCAGTGAACCTGCCTCCCTTGCTGGGCACATCCTTTGGATGCACCAAACACTCCTTCAGCAAGCTGCTGAAATGTCTGCTCTGCACCAGTGGATACGCCAGTGTTATTCCCAAAGGGGTACAGGGCAACTGGTTTCCAAAGACTTTGGCAGAACCCTTACAGAGTGGATGTGGAGCAGGGAAGGTTTGGTGTGGAGTTCTGCCTGACTCAGTCGTTTCATTTCCCAACAGTCCCAAATCAAGCTCTGCTTTGTGGCACGTTACTGTGGACAAGCCTTTACCTGTGCCATGGCATGGAGCCATCCTTTGTGAGCTTTAGAAAAGAATTTTGCTTCTTGGCTGGAGAAATATGGAGCAGAAAAAAAAGTAATTTTGTGAGTTTCAGTGAGGAATTTTAGTAGGGAAAAAGCCCGTGGAGGCAGCACAGTTGCAGTATATGGGTCATCTGAAACACATAATGTGAATTGGGTAATAAAGTAGTCATCCCCATCTCAGCAAATTAAGTTAATTATTATTTCTAGACAATTAGAAAGAGTAGGGGAGAGTGGATAGATGTTTAACAAGTTGACCTTCCAAAGGTCATGGAAGTAATTTCTCAGTACAGGCTGAAGATAAGATCAGAATCTGTGGGACAAACATGCCTCCAGAATAAATGCAGCACACAAAAAATTTTAACACAAAGTTCAGCAAATATGCTGAAACAGACTACTTGTTTTAGTTATTCACATATATACTAGGAAATAAGGTTGTATATTGGAAAGTGCGCAAACTGTATAAACTGCAATTCTGTAAGAAATTGCAACATCTTGGAGAGATGTGAAACTAAGAATTAATGTAGCTCTAAAGAAACAGGAATATCTGACCCAGAGAGTGGCCAATTGCCCAGGGATTGCTGAGGATTTTGGCAAGGACTGAGTGCTGTGAAATGCAGCCTGGCCTGGTGATGCTGAAGGGTTTAGGCACGGGGGCAGAAGAGGTGCCTGTTCACAGCAGAACTGCCTGAGCAGGGCTGGGATGTTGAGGAGGCTGCATGGCTGAGATGTCTCAGGCCAAAAAGCACAGCAAGCAAATGGGAATTAATTTCTGGGGGGTCATGTGCTACAGCTAAAAATGAACCAGTATTGTAAGTAACTATTATAAATCACATAGTCTATTGTATTAGAAAGCTTTATCACTTTTTAATGAGGAGCTCAGTATTTGTGATCAGATACAGAGAGGTGTGGCACAGGTTGTTCACTTGTATGGATAATTTCTGTCCTAGAGTAGTCGTGTGGTTGAAGCACAGGGCAGGAGATCTAAATTCACTCCTTGCTTATGTAATGGCAATTACTAAGCAGACATTTAATCTCTGAACTGTTTCTGTGTCTTTAAATGATTGAAAGTATTTATGTAACACCCAGTCACACCTATGTGTGGGTCACATGGGGCTAACTGACAACCTGTTAAGATCAGAGGTTTTCCTTGTATTGCTAAATTCTCCTATTGTTTTGTAAGAGGATTTCTGCTATTACATGTTCATTTGGGTGCCACTTGCTTATTTGATTGGATGTTTTTTCTTTTCTACTAAGCTTTTGTGTATTTGAGGTAATTGGTGCACTCTCAGGATGCAGCTTAGTAATGACACTCTGGCTTTTATTGTGTTCCAAGACCAGCAGCAGGACAGGTTTGCTTATCCTTTCCCAAATGTCAGAACAAGGAGAAAACTGTCAAGACTTTATACTGAATGCACCTTGTTCTCAAGATATGAAAACATTGCAAAGCTAAGTGGTATTCAAAATCCTGTAGCAAGGCTTTATGGGAACCTAAAAAAAAAAAAGCATTTTCTAAAATTGTGTTCCATTGTAAGAGTTTGTATTAATAATACAGGTGTAAAACTTTCTGACAAGTCTGCCTGCAAAGGGGGGTAACACTGCAGTGTGGGTAACACACACACAGAAGCTTTGCTGTCCCAGGCTCAGGAGTCTCATCTATGTCTCCCAGGTACAATAAGCAGAGGGAGTATTTTAGAAGCCCTGGACGCCACCTTTGTGCTTCTTTATATCCATTTTGTCCACTCCAGGTTAGCTGAGAGTTCAGCACAGTCACTGGCTGTGCCTGTACTTTGTCTCAGATCTGTGACTAACAGCCCCTCCTGAGGAAACCCAGAGGAGACTTTGCATAAGCTCTTCAAACGTGCTGTTTTCAGGTGAGAGGACAAGAGCAGATGAGATCAGGCCAAGGGATGGAGTGCAATTAAGAGCTCTTTGTGCTGCTCTGCTGTGTTTACCCAGGGCCTCCTCCCAGCCCAGGTACCAGGTGAGAACATGCTCCTTCCCACATGCCCTTCAGTTATTTTGGTGAGGTTTCTTTGGGAGCAAGAGGCCAAGAGGCATCCAGAAAGTCTCCAAGACTTGTTGCTTTGCTTTTATCGGGCGTGTGGGTGACTGCCTTGGTCTGAAGAACAATGTGTGCAGTGCTTCTGTACTGTCATGTTGCCTCACACTTTTGCACAATTTCTATGGGTTTTCTCATGCTCTGGCACAGGTCCAGGCAAGGAAGCTCAGTCAGAGCAGGGATGAGCTTGAACTTGAATCTAAGGCTGTGACAAATAGTCCTGTGGAACTGCCAGCTCAGGGCTTTCTGGTACTGCAGCAAATTAAGTGCTAGGAAAGGATGGAGGCCAAACTAGAAGACTGGTGCTTAAACCCATGGCTCCTCTGTGCACAGATTACTGGATTATAGGGTGGTGTTCTCATCTCAGCATATGGGAGATCTGGAGAAGGTAAAGCAAGCTGATACAAGATATGGAATAATTTCTGTATTGGGAATCAGAATGAGAGGAATATAATAGAAATGTATAAATTTGAGTGGTGTGGAGAGGTATCAACTGTGTAATCTCCCTTTAGTACAAGTACTAGAGGCCACATGTGAAAGGACTGGGAACTAGATGCAAACAAATGGAAGGGACTCACAGGTGAACAAACCTCATCAGACTGCAGGCAGTTCACTCAGCTGCACATACCTGGAGGCAGGGGAAGACAAAATACAAGCATCACATGCTTGTCCTGTTCTCCCTTGTAGGTGTCTGCTAATTCCCACTGCTGAGGGTGGGATCCCAGGTTGGATGGACCTTTTGAGTCCATCTGGCCTGTCCTATGTGTGTCCCAAGAGCCAGTGCAGATACCCTGAGCTCTGTGTGTGTGTGACAACCCTGTCACCTGTGTGACCATGGGGGCACAGGGACCTGCACAGACAAGGGCACAAGTTTCCTGGGACGTGGCAGAATAGGTCTGACCTGCAGTTGTTGCTGAGAGCCTTGAATGTTCCCCTTCGAGGTGGCAGGAGTGCAAGAGAGGGCTTTGGATAACACCCTGGGCAGAGCTCCTTGGGAGCTGATATCCCAGATATCCCAGACAGCCCACACTGCTGGGCACCCTGGGGCCACCCCACTGTGCCCTGCTGAGCACACTCAGTCCCACAGACAGAGCAAACCAGGTGCCCACTGTCACAGATCTGCTCTGGGGCTTCAGCCTGGACATGAAGGGTCACCCAACATCACAGGGCTCAGGCTCTTTGCAGAGGTTTTGCTCCCTGCTTCAACCTTAGCATTTTCACAATCAAGATAAATATTGACCAGAAACACCACCTTCTTTTCATCTGGGCTTGGAACAACTTCTCCGTGGAAAAAACCACCCTGGGGTGTGCTACTGCTGGCCTGAGAGTTGCCAAAAATGAGAGGGGATTGGAAATAAGTTACCTCTCTCGATTGAATAGTTATTGGCAAAGGCATAAGTAATCCAGAGTCTCTCACCTCTAGCCTAGAAATAGCTGCTTGATGGACAAAAGATGAAGAACACTAAAAAAAAAAAAACCAACAAAACAACAACAACCCCCCCTCTCCTCACCCGACAAAACAACAATAAAGTGTGAACAAAAGGAATACACCTGAAACAGAAATAGTAAGTTTTTTGTAAAATAGCTGGGAATGAGAAACAAGGAAGATATATCTAGTGAAATTTCTCCAAAAAAAGAAGCACAACTTGAACAAGATCTTCAGGGGATTTGAGGTTTTAATCTGATAGAAACTGGATATGTATAATGACAGATAAGTCTCGCTACAGCAGCACTGCACACTTGTTTCACTGACCTGTGCTCAGCTTTAGGCTTTGACATGTGCAAAAAGGGGTGTCTGTCAGTTAAATGTGGAATTACACAAATAGCCAGGTATTTCTAAAACAAATGCATTGGTAAATTAGTAACTGAACAGCTTTATTCCTGTGCAGAAATGCAGCTTCTTTCTTTCCTGTAAATTCACTGTGCCAAATCTTTTCAGACTCTATAGTGAATAATTTGTATGTTCCTAAACCACAGAAATGACCCCAGAATGTTGGCCTATATTTCAAAATAGCACGTTCTATTTTACAGGAAGTGGCAGCTCCTTTCATGTTCCAGCCTCCTTAAACTAGTCTAGAGACAGCTGACAATTACAGGTGAGAAACCTTGACCTCGGAAATAATTTTGTTACACTTTAATGCATTACTGTTACATGTGACTAAGTGATAAGATTATCTCTGTAAAAGATATTGGTTCATCCAGTTTTATGCAGAATAATTCCAGGGACTTTCTATTTCACTCCTGGCAGTCAGTGTTACTGTGAAGGGAAGTTGGGGCCTGAGAAACTTCCATTTGAGTATATCACTTCAGCTGATCTTTCAGTGTGCATGGAAGTCCTCTTAAGAGGAAAGGACTTGCACACAATAAGCACTTAGAATTTCCCAGACACTCTTAAAGTCACAGCAGAAAGGAAATGTTGCAAGTCAGGAATATCAGATGTGGTAACCTGGATTCAAGCAGCAGCTCCTTTGATAGGATCAGATGCTTAAGAGGCAGATGAAAATAAACCCTGAGGGTAGGAAGTTGCAGGAGGACTCCAGCCCAGTCCTCTTCTAAACCCTCCCAGCTAAAACCTCTTGTTCTGTGCTGCAGAAAAGCTTTTTGTCTTTGAGGCAATGGAACCTGCTGGCTGTGTAGCTCTGGGTGCCCTGAGCTGTACATGTGTCAAAGCCTTTCAGGAATGCTACAAAATCCTTTATCTTGATTAAGTGATTCTTGATCTTGATAAAGTAAAAAGAAGTTTAAAGTTAGGTTAAAGAGCTACAGAATGGCTTAAGCTGTGGCAAGAAAATGAATCCAGGAAACTCCAAAGGCTTGCTGCAGCCTCATTTATGAAAGTTTGTGTTGCTGAGTTGAACAAGCTCTTTGCATTGCATCCTCTTTTCCATTTTTGAATTACTCACTTGTATTTGAAAAGCCCTGTTTTGTCTTAAGAAAAGATATGTACAGAAAGGATGCTCAGTGCTCATGTTCACCTGTACCTATTACTTCAAGTTTTCTTCTCCATTGGTTATTCCTCTCAAGAAACTGTGAGCATCCACTTCTGTGTAGGATATTTTCTGATTTGCAGCACATGTGCACATCATAATATGCTACCACAGTTTATTAAATTAAGCTATCAATTGCTAAATGATTAAATAGACTAAAAGAACATAACCAAACACTGACTTCAAGTTTGTAGAAGCTAAAGGCGGTATCTTAAAATGATCCTGCTATCTGTAACTCATGTAAATATTTAGGAATATATTGACATTAGGATAAGAAGAGAAAAATTCCCTATCAGCTTCATGAGCAGTTTAATCTTTGACTAGGTCATGGCTGCTGTTTGTTTGAAATGAAAGTGCATGTGGTTACTTTTTCTCCCAAACACATCAATGTGGAGATGGTGATGGGGGTCTGAGGGCAGAGCACATGAGCTGAGCTTTCCTCTGTGGGTTGCACTTGGGGAACAAGGAATCTGCAGAGACCCAGTCCTTGTGGAAAGGAGCAGTCCCTTGGGAAAGGCTGCAGTCCCTGGAGCCCAGGACTGTGCCTCTCTGCATCCCACTAGTCTCTGAAAGGGAACACGTGCTGGGAAGCAGAAAGTGCACTGGATCTGGCTGTCACCCCCTTCTGCTGTCAGCCAAGGAGGGAAATGGTGATCCTGGCCTGGTTCCTAAGGAATGCAGGCACAGCCACCCAGCACTCTGCTAGTTCTCTGCATGGATGCTTCACATGTGAACTCCCAGGGAATATTTTTGCAAAACACCCAGTTATCTCTCAGCACAGGGGGCGCCTTTGTCCTCACCAGGAACATCTTTCAGGGTGTGTTTAGAGGGATCTCTGGATCTCTGTTCCTGCTCCCTTAGCCTGCCAGAGAAGATGGGTGCAATGTCCCAGCAGGTCATTGTTACTGTGCAATAGAGTGCCCACACCGGCCCTTACTGCAGAGTGGCCAAAGATGGGATTACATGAAAGCAGATGGAGCTTCACAGCCCTCCTGGGTACTGGGATTGATTCTCACCTCCCCGTGTTTATTTTTTAACAGTTGTTTTCAAGACAAAGTGGTGGAAGTGGCTGATGGCCTTGGCCAATGAAGGGTGGTGAAAATCTTTGTGTTTGTCTCATTAATTTGAGAAGACAACCCTCTTGGAACAGATAAAGAATGATTTCAAGGTAACAGATTCAGAACAGGGAAAACCAAAATTCACTCATTAAAAATAGTTCCAGAAAAATGTAAGGTTTTGCTTTTTACTTTCCTCAAACAAATTTCCAAGTTACTAAGATAAAACCATTTCAGTATTTATCTGACTGGAAGGTCAGTGTTCCTATGAACAACAAAAGGGTGCAGTGAACCTTCACTTCTCTCCCCTTGGACCCAGCTGCCTAAACTCTGCAAAAAGAGGTATGAATACAGACATGGCCTTGGCAGGGACATGGGAAGGTTAGGACATGTGCTCTGTGCCAGATCTTTCTTTAGAGGAAGCCATGTGGAAGCACAAACACACGTGGGAAGGCACAAGTGTAACTGGGAGCAGAAGTGGGTCTCACGCTTGCAGAGTTCCCTGAGGGCTCTTTCTGTCACACCAAGCAGTTCTCTGGGCTGTCCTGTGGCCTCCAGCTCTGTCACTGGCACAGCAAGTGACAGTCCTGACATCCAGCTGCTGCCAGAGGTGGCATGACCACAGCTGTGCCAGGACATTTCCAGGGAGCATCTCGCTCATCTTGGTCCGGGTTGTGGTGTTGGTGACAAATGTGGGTTTTCTCAGTCAAAGCAAAAAGCAACCAGGTAAACTGTTTCAGTACTGATGTCAAATCATTCATTATCATTATGTATGTGGGTTCTAGTTTTGGTACATATGCTAACATACAACTTCTAAGTGTTAAGTTCCCCTGGGTGAGAAAGGTGGAGATGCTTTAAGCAGCAACAGAGTGAAGCTGGGCTTTAGGTACTGCACTTTAAAGAACAGAGGAGAAACCCTTGCAAAGAATTCATTTACTGACAGTTTCCACTTAAGTCTGACAGATCTATTTGTACCCCGTGTGACAGAGGTGTGACTCCTCCCTGAGCACAGTGCAATGCACCCCAGTGAGTGAGCCCATAAACCTGGGCACAGGTTTAGCAGAGGGTTATTTTCTGTAAAAGCCAGAAGCTCTCTAAAGACCTTCAAATCTGTGCACCTATAAAATGTTTTTGTCAGTTCAGCAAAAAGTAAATGAATTGCACAAATTAGTAGGTCAAAAGCTGGCTGCCAGGCCAAGGGCAGATTGCACAATTACTTCCTCTTCTGGAAAGTTTATGCAAAGTGTTGGGCTGAATTATTTTTTCCAGGCAAGGTACACAAGGAGAAACACTAACATTGAGATATATTTTTTTTTTTTCCCATATGATGTTTGTTGGGATATCTATAAAAAAGCCACACCCAAATTGCTATTCAATAGTCTTATTGGACAGTGGGTTATTGTACATGAACATTTTCCTGCAAAGAATTGTACTTTACACAAAACTATGATAGAGCTTGTGGTTTTGGAAAGACTTCACGTGGTTTTGGCTTTATTTGTGAAGGTAATAGAAATGACAGTTTTAAAAATTCCTGTAGGAAATGGGGAGGGACTCCTACTTTTGTACCTGAAGGACAACTTTATTTCTGCTGATTTGCACACATAGGAAGTATTCCCAATTTTCCTTATTAAAAGCCTACCAAAGCATCGTGTATGGTTTCCTCCTGTATCCATGGTACCAGCAAGTATTGACTTGAACATCTTTGTTCTAAAATGTCTGCCATGCAGTGCTGCACGTCAACACATTGAAGACAGATTTTGAAAAACCTGGTAAGAGGGCAGTCTTACATCACCTGAGCAAACAAATGCCTTACTTTCTCTGAAAGCCTAATTCTTCCTTGACTAATATGGATAAAGTGGTTTCATGCCAATAAATAGCTAAATAACACATACAAAAGCCTTTGCAGTATGAGTTGTTTAAGAGCTCTGTGCAAATGCTACCTTGGATAAAGGCCCAGGAACTGGAAAGAGACCTTAAGAAAACCCCACCCCTCAGTCTGACAGTGTTTGCCCAGTCAGGTTTGTCAAAGGGTTGACTGGGAGTTTAAGTGAAACAACGGTTCATATTTATTAAAAAAGACTTATTCTGTTGGAATTAAAATAGAGTATTATGTTAAGTATTGAGCATTCTGCTGTGATGTGGGTTGTGAGAGCAGAGAAATCCTTCTCGTGAACAGCTTTTATCTTTCAGATCACATGGATGACAGTGTGCATCCTGGCTGGCCATCAGCAGTCCTGATTCCCTGGAAATGGGGGTTTCAGAACAGATGGCCTCAGAGATAAACCTGGGCTGCATTTCCTGCTCCAGCTGAACACTTTGCTGTTAAAGGATTTCATTTGTTACGGGCACTTTAAATTTAGCAGCTGGATCGATCAGGCCCTGGATTGAGTGAGATACCTGGGATGAAAATCCTGCTGTGGTTTAAACTTTACAGGAAGAAGTTTGACTCATTTTACTGCTACTGTGCAAAAGGTTTATAACACTTTATGTCGCTGAAGAGAAAGAAATAAAAACTGAAATCTCTCTTTTCAGACACACCAGCTCTCTGTGATGCCCCGAGGGTTAAAAATGAATATATTTGCTCAGTGCAGGCCTCGTGCCCTGCACGGCTCCTCTCAGCCTCTGCTGCAGTCACAGTCAGATGAACACTGGTAAGGACACAGTCAGATGAACACAGTCACCACATCATTCATCCAGAGCCGGGCAGGGAAATTCCTGCTGACTCATGCTTAGAAACACTTTCCTTGCTCCGCCTCCTTCCCCGTGGCTCCTCCTCTCCCTCCCTGCTGCTGCCTCCGTATTTAAACAGCTGTCCCGGGGCAGAGGCAGCACTGGAGGGTTGGGTGGCTCTGGCTGTGCAGACTCTCACCCAGATCCCACCGCTCAGACCTGCTGAAGGTAAGGAGGCTCCAGGCAAGCACAGAGGGCTCTGTCTGGTGCTAAAACGTTGCTTTCTGAATATCACAGGGCTGGGTTTAGAACGTTATGACAAACCATAAAGTTGAATTTTTTCCACGTACTTTTATTGTGTTTGGGCGGTAACTGGTCTGACACGTGAGTAGTAATACAAGGGGGGAGCTGACTCCTGGAACTTGTAGGGAAGTATAAAATGTAAAAGCTGTTGAGATCTTTGCTTTTTTAAAAAAGGTACTAATTAATTAAATATTAAACTGGTGAAAGAAGTGGGTTGATGAAGGAGCAAAGTTGAAGAAAACTGTGGTTGCATTTGTGCTGGTGTTGTTCTTATTTAAAACTGAGTGTTGTGGTGGCTCTCTCAGTCTCTCCAGTATTTATATACTGGTTGCATTGCTCTCTTGAACGCTCCCCATGTGCTGTCCAGGCCACACTTGGTGGTCCTTCCTCAAGCAGAAGTCTCATGGCTCTTACAGGGAGAGCTGCTTGCACGTGGCTGATGTAACCTGGCTCTTTGTTTCTCTAAAGATCAGTGGCCTTGTGTAGCTAAACAGATCTTTGCTTTTGCTGACTTCAGACCTGTTTGTCATGCAGCCTGGGACTGCTGGGGCCACACTGACCCACTCTCAGCTCCAGCCACACTTTGGGAGCTGTAGGCCCCCCGGACATGAGGCTGTGTCAGGAAGGAATGCAGAGTTTGGCTCAGAAGGAGCTGGGTGCTTTTCCAAGCCAGAACTATTATGTAAAATCACATAAGACACTGAAATGCTTTGAAAGCAGCCAGAAGACAGATTGTGAAACTTGCAGCATTGTCCCAAATGAAGAGAAAGGAAAGGAACATCCATTTAAAGTTGGAAGGCCAGAGCAGGAGCCAAAATCAGTGTCACTAAGCTGGCTAAGTGTGAGTGCCCAGCAGCCAGCACTAGAACAAAGAAGGGTGAGAAGAGTAATCTTGAGTTTCTTGCTGTCTCAGGCTTTTTCTTGGTGCTGACTAGTTCTGTACAGACTTCAAATGAACTTCAATGTCCTGTATGCTTTCCAGTAGTCTCTGCAAGAACAGGCTTCCCTCTGCTGCACTGCATTAGCTGTGCGGGTTATTGAGGTGCAGGAGTCTGACTGAAAAAAGAAAAGTAATTAAAATAATCCACCTTAACTTCTAATGGCAGGGAAAGTGGATGTTTGGCCTGAAACTGAAATGTCTGAGGTGATCTGAGCTCAGTTTTACCCCCAAAGTCAAACATTTAGCCTACAGGAGGGGAATAGCTATAAACAGGTTCAGCATCTGGTTCACTTTCTACTGAAAAAGAATTATTAACTATGAATTACAGAGAAGGCAGCTGTAGGATGTGGAAGGGCCTTCTCCCGTTTGTAGAGAGATGCTGGGATAAACAGAAGCATCTCTGGTTAATCTCGTGTTGATAGAATTGACCAGTGACAGAACTGCCAGAAGCAAAGTGAATAGCACTCAAATGTCATTAAGGGGCTTTGTGAACCAAGATACTGAATAAATCCATGGCTAAAAATGGTCATTATGTGCACAGATCTAGTAATTTCATTACACTAACAATTGTGTTCCTCTAGCCATTAAAATTTGGTTTATTCCAGCAAATGCTTCTTTTTTTGTGTGTCAAAAGGTGCAGGATGGAGGAGGGTGAAGGAGGAGGGTGTTATCAGGGACCTTTCAGCTGCTGGCTCTGTGCTTTATCAGGGTGGGGAAGGGTGGCACAGTGCAACAGCCAGGAGCCCAGGTAACCTTCCTCTAAAGCAAACAGGGCTGCCAGGCCCACTTCTACTGTCTTGGGCCTTTTTTGTCCCCTTCAGTCTCCCCAGAAAATGCTGGCAAATGGGGTTGATGTTTGTCTGCTGGCTCTGCTGCTCCCCTGGCACCGTGTCCATGTGCTGGGCTGGGTTGGTTCAGTCCTTGCTTCCAGCAGAAATGCCGTGGGCGTTGCTGGGGTGCCACTTACAGAGTGCACACGGTGTTTCTGGGCGTGCTGCTGCAGAGCTGTGGAGCAGAAACCTGGCAGATCCCTTCCAGAGGTCTTGCTCTCTTCTTCCAGAGATCTTGCTCTCCTCTTCCAGCCTCCCAGTAGCTTCACAGAAATGACATGTGCACTCTGTGTTAGGAAAAATTAATAAGACCTTTTCTTCTTGTGTAATGCAGAGGGGAGGGGTTGGTTTGTTACCATGGAGAAGAAACCACTGCTACCCTCAGCTGGGTCCTGTGGTTTGGCTGGTTGGAGGGGACACCTCACTGGTCACACCAGCTCCTTTGGTGTCTCTGGCCGTGCAGGTGCTAGTGCTGAATTCTGCCAATTGCAACTCTGGAGCTTTGTGGTAAGGAATTATTTGGGGGTAAACTTACAATCTCCTGAAGGTGATGTGAGTTTTGGTTCATGTGGCAGGAACTACCCAAAAAAAATGGAAAGATGGTTGGGCAGTTTGGCTGTGCCCCCACAGCTCCCAGGGCTGGGTCAAACATGCCTTAAGGACTTGATATTCTTTGATATGGACACAACACTGAAATGTTCTTCTTCTGCAGGGAATGCAGTGACCTTTGAGTCTCAGTTAAACTGGGAACATAAGCTTCCTTGAGATCCAACTCTCTTCAAAGCTAGATGCCTGAAATCACTTAAATTAGAAAGCACAGCTATTATGCCTTTTAAATGGTTCATGCCCTGTCGGGCACAATGCTTGGTTAAGTGATAACAGGCAACCAGTAAGTGGGACTAAACTGTGATCAAAACCCTTGGACAAAGCTGCCAGTTTTGAATTCAGCTTGTGAGCCTTCTGTGCTGCTTTACTTGGATGGACTCAGGGCTCTTGGAATATCCTGTCGAGCCCAGCCATGGCTGTGTGTTGGTGTCTGGGACAATTGTCACACCCTTGCAGGCAAATTCGATTATAACACTCCTCCTAAAGCCTGGAGTTCTGCAAATTGTGAACTCACCTGTGGTTTCCTGGCAGCTCATTCAGCCCCCAGGCTTTCACTGCTTTTGCTGTAGCTGCTGTGCCATAAATGTCAGCCCTAAAGTGGGGCATTACACTGGTAGGAAGACATTTGGTGAATAGCCCTGTCAAGGGCAGTGATGTGCCAGACCTTGTGGAGGCATGCACTGTGCTTGCCAAAGAGCTTCATGCACTTGAAAAGGGTACAAAGAACGTGCCCCACTGAATGAAGTCATGCCTGTTGGTGGAGTTTTACTTGGCTTTCCAAAATGAAAATAAGGGTTTTATAAGAGAGAGTGTTTTCTGTAGAATAACTTAAAAGCTTATGTTGAATTTCAGAAATCTCATGTTTATTGTAGTAAAAATAACTTTTCTAGATTAGTGACAGTAGACAACTCTACTCCCAGGAAAACTAAAGAAGCCATTATTTGACAAGGTAGGATTTCTGCAATAATGGCAAAAACATTCACTGTTCATTGAATATCTGCAAAATTATTAGATTAGTTTTGTAGATTCTACTCCAGTGACACCTTAGTTTCCAAGATAATTAGGATGCATATTTTGTTTAAAGACTTGTTGTTATTTACTTGTTCAGACATACAACCCTCTATTTTCTGGAAAAATAAGAAAAAAGGTTCCAGAACTAAACTACTCAAAAAATCCTGTAGGGATGGAATGGTACCTACTTGAAAATGCAGCCAGTAGACTTCCAGCCACTGGGCAGAAGTCTTGAGTGAGGTTTTTTTTTTTACTTATCTGTAAATGCACAGGTTGCTGCATTTGTGATCATTATGACAATTTTCCACACAGTATGTAAAGAAAACTGTGAAGTTTTCATTAACAAGCTGCAACACTTCATTTAATGCAGTCAGAGGGTTACCAAAATTGCCAACTGTTCTGAAGGGACTGGAATTCATGTCTGGAGGAGAAAGATAACTGTTCTCTCCCTCTTTTGTGTTGTATAATCAGAGAACCAGCCTTTGATTTTGGGGTCAGGAGGAGAAAAAGATAAGGAGGTGTGTCCTGAGTGTGGAAATGTAATGCAAGGATAATACTTTAGATCAACCTGGGTTTGTGGGCTGTACAAAGTCTTGTTGTTGTTTTTTTTTTCTTGCCCAAAAATGCAAGTGATTCCAAACTTATTTGTTTCAGCAGGTGGACTCCAGAGCAGAAATGCTTCCAGACAGGAAGATGTATCCACTGCTGACCAGACCCTCACATAGGAGTGGGCTCAAGCCACTGCCTGTTGTGATCATAGGTGAGCTTTCTCCTGCCAGCATCACTGTGTCTCTTTTGTGTTGTTGCTTTGGACTCGCTGTCTTTAACTTTTGTTCCACGTGTTCTCACTCAAACCAGAAATACCTGACCCCTGTTTGTGCATCCTTCCCTCAGCCAAACTCCCTGTAGAGGGAGATCACTGAGAGTTGTGGGAGGTAGGGACCCAGGTATTGGACAAACCAAAACACATACCTATTTTTAATGGTAAAATTGGCAGCCTTTTGGGCATCAGTTCATCTGGGCCCGTTTTTTCTCAGTTGAACACTTAGAAAGATTTGAAACCTTTTCCCTACAGATAGTTAATCAATTTGCTATGATTATCTGTAGTGTTTGAAGTGGAGGCAGGTTTGTGTGATCTTTTTTGACCATTATGTCTGTTTAGAAAGTGCTCCAAATGCTGTTAAAGTTTCTTGAAATTTTTCACAGATTTCTTTTAAAACGTGTCAGCTACACTGATTTTGCACAGTTTTAATAGACTAATAAAAAGCTGTATGTTTTCTACCAGTTTTTAGAAAAGAACAGGTTATGTATTAACGGTCTTGTCTCCCTTGCAAGAGGGAGTTTTGTCACCTGAGGTGATTCTTGGAGCAAAGCACAAGCAGTGATGTCAGTGCCCTCCTCTGAGATCATGAGCTGTGCTCGAGGGCAGGGGTTGGACCCTGTTCATCTGAGCATGTGTTTAAATGCCTTGTAGAACTGAGTTTCTTCCTTATCTGGCATCTGATAAAGCTAATGCACCACATGAATCACTGTAACCCTTGCTAACAGTGAGTTTGACAAGGATACTTCTACCAGCAGGTTTTTGTCTCAGTGTGACTTTGCACTGCCCAGTTGCACAAGTCTTTAGGTGGGAGGGAGGGTATTTTGGTACATCCCCAGTGTCCCTGTGCAGGGATCCAGTGCAGAGGTGTCCCACAGGGAAGCCCCTGTGTGAAGATGCTGCTGGGCTGAGGGAGCTCAGCTGTTCCCTGCAGCTGGACACTGCAGGAAGGTCCAGCCCCTGCCCCAGGGGGCTGTGTGCTCCCTCAGCTGGGCTGGCAGCCTCACAAGAGCAGTTGCATTCCAAAATAGCTTGGGCCCCAGAGACAGCTGTTCCTGTAGCCATCCACATCACCCTCAGATGTGGCTCAGAGTGAATCCTGAGTGTTGTGCATTCAGGTGGTTCAGTTTGGCTTAGATATCTCCTTGTACTTCCTAAAGTAAAGCAGTAACCTGGAATTTGTTATATTTTACTATAGCTGCAGTTTAGTTTGTTTTCAATTCCTGTTGGGTTTGGATAACTTTTCTCCAAGTGGACTGTTCCAAACACTGACCTGCAGCTGGTGCTTGCTCAGCACAGCAGCTCTGCCCCAGCTGTGACACATCTGCCCTTCCCACAGCTCCCTGTTGGCTTTCCAGCCCTGCCCTGGCTCTGTCTGAGAGCCTCCAGGAGCAGCCTTTGCTCCAGTCCCTCCTGAGGAGGAGAAGGGGACATATGAGGGTAAAATGACTTCCCTAACTCCTTCCAATAGGTCAGTGGTTAACCTGGGAGAGAAAATCCCCTGTATCCACAGCATCATATCTCTTGCATTGGTCTGGATATTGGAAACACTTTTCAAAGGACAGCTCTGTCTGCAGGAGTATAAATTCTTCTCCATTGTCTTTTCAGGGAATGGACCTTCAGGAATCTGCCTCTCATATTTGCTGTCAGGTTACACCCCCTACTTCAAAAGAGAATCTCTTCATCCTAATCCTATTCTTCAGAGGAAACTGGAAGAGGCACCAGAAGTCTCCATTTTGGACCAGGTTTGTGTAAAGATAAGCAATATAACATCCCAGTAAAGCATCCTTGGGGTATATTATGAGTGATAACCTTGTTTGAATTTTCAAAATACACAGGCAGAATAAGCCTTAAGCAAATTTTGCTTTGTAATCCAGATCTGCCTTGTGTGAAATGCCAGCATTCCTGCTGAGATCCTTGAGGTTTTCCTCGGGAAAGATCAGGTCTGTGTGCCAGTGAATGAGCTTCCCAGAGCACCAGAACCACTGATGAGAGACACTGGAGTGACAGTCAGCCCGCTGCCTGGCAGTACACACCCTCTGAGCTGCTCCTCCTCTGTGCAGGACCTGGACTATCTGTCTGAGGGCCTGCAGGGACGCTCTGACAGCCCCGTGGCTCTGCTCTTCGACGCTCTGCAGCGGCCGGACACGGACTGGGGGGGCACGGCAGAGTCTGTGCTCAGGTGGAGGCACGAGCCCAGCAGAGCCATCCCCCACCTGGTGCTCGGCAGGAACGCTCCTGGAGGGGCCTGGCACGTGAGTGAAGGGGAGCTGCTGGGGCTGAGGGTTGGGTGACAGCCAGAGGTGTTCCCTGGAGAGGGAACAGCTCTGCCGAAATGCCAGCCAGCCATGGTTGGGTTTATGGACAGAGACAAAGTTTAAAAGGAAAAGAAGCATGAGAGGCCTTTCTTGTCTCTAGTTCTCTTTGGAGGACATGGATGGTTTCATCCATGACAGTGGATCGGGGAGGTTACAGATTTCATGATCTGTGCTATACTGAATCATGAAAAAATTGCCTTTCACTTTTTATGTAAAAATTAAGTAATTTTGCTCTGCTTGTTCCAGTCTATAGAGGGTTCTATGGTTACCTTGAGCAGAGGGGAATGGATGGGACTCCCAGATCTGCCTTTCAAAGAATGGCTAAAGCAAAAGAGAAGGTAAGATACCCATGGTGTGATCCTTTGCAGACTTCTGGAGGTTACCAACAAACCTGGAGTGCACTTCTTGAATGTAGCTACCCATCTGTTATAGATGGTTTTAGTGAGAGAAAGGACACTCTCCCACACCCCAAAAAAGGTCCATTCTACATTCAGTGATTCAGATAAAGTGCCTCTTGGAAAGTGTCCTTCCCAACAACCACTGGGGAGATGGATCAGTGACTGTGAATTCTGAGTAAAGCTTGAGTGGAAAAGCATGGTCACCTGGCTTCTGTGTCTACTGCTGCTGTCCCTAATGACAAATATAATCAGTTCAGCTGCTCTCCAGTCTCTTAGGTGCTTCTGCTCTTGACATGTGTAATAATTAATCTTAAAAAGTCCAGGAGTTAAAAATGGAATGGAAGCGAGGTATGAAAGGAAGGCATAAATGAACAGCCATGTGGATGAGATGAATGCTAGAGAAAGCTGCCTCTGTCCAACAGCTTTTGGACTTGAGTGCTTGGTCTATATATCAGGAATAACTTTGCTGAAGTCAGGGAAACTAGATAAGTCTCTGGTAGTGCCAGGATAGATTACTCTAGGATATATTCAGTGGAAGAGGGGAAAAAATTCCAGTCTCTTACTTAACTGCCACTTGACCTTTGTTTGTACTGTATTACAGAGGCCTCAGAAACAACAGAGCCACAGCAGAAGACATTGCTCAGTATTACCAACACTATGTGGTGAAGAAAGGACTGCAGAAGAATTTCAGATGTGGCACTGTTGTGACCTCTGTGAGGAAAGTGAGTGCAGGGAGCATCTCCAGCCACGCCCAGAGAGATCTGCAGGAGAACAGAGGCTCACTCTGGAACTCCAGTGAACAGAGTACAGAGATCTTTCAGGTGGATGGATTTTTCAAAACTGTGGAAGGTGACAAAGAGCCCTTCTCCATCTATGCAGAGAATGTGGTCTTGGCCACAGGAACATATGACAGTCCCACCTGGCTCGGGGTCAAGGGGGAAAACCTTTCCTATGTCCATCACCAGCTGTCTGCCCTAGAAGAAGCAGTGAAGAACAACAGCATTGGCATCATGTCAGACCCAGTCTTGGTTGTAGGTGCTGGTCTGACAGCTGCTGATGCAATTCTCTTTGCTCACCATTGCAATATTCCAGTAATACATGTTTTTAGGAGGCGAGTCAGTGATCCGGGTCTTATCTTTAACCAGCTCCCCAAAATGATGTATCCTGAATACCACAAAGTCCATCAGATGATGAAAGAACAGACAGCTGCTTGTGCTGGGCCTTATGAATGTTACATTAGCCTTCCTGAGCATCACGTGCTGTCCTTTGGCAAGGACAGGAAATGTATCATTCAAGACAAGAATGGCTGTCAGAAAGCTTATAAAATATCCATGGCTCTTGTTCTCACTGGCTCAAACCCCAACCTCTCCTTTCTGCCAAATAATGGCATTGACTTGGCAATGGCCAGTGACCAACCAGTCAATGCCAAGAGGAATCCCATAGATGTGGACCCATTCAGCCACGAGTGCACTCAGGAGAAGGGGCTCTATGCCCTGGGGCCCCTGGCAGGGGATAACTTTGTTCGCTTTGTGCAGGGAGGGGCCCTGGCTGCTGCCAGCTCTCTGCTAAGGAAAGCAAACAAAAATCCCCCCTAACAAACCCCCCATCCCTGTGTCTGAATGGGTCAGTGCTCTTGCCATCGAGGAGCAGGTCATCTGATTTGTACATCCCCAGATCTAAAGCCCATTCCTGGTATTCTCCAAGGTTATACAGAGAGTTTGGAAGTTCTTGCTGAGTTATTTGAGAAGATTAAGTCACCAAATCCAGAGTGGGTTTCACACACAGCAGAATCTTCAACTCCTGGGATTTCAGCTCCTTTTCTGCATAGCTGTGCGTGGTTACTGGGACTGAATCTTGTGCCTGGAAAAGCAGGGGGCAAGACAGGGGTTGCCTTTCTATCTAAAACCCTCCAGGTGACTGAAAATTGAATTGATGATCAATCAATGTTAATTATTTTCAGACAGCAGGTTCCCAACCCTGCATCTGTTGGTGTCTTACAGAGTTTCTTCCATGACACAAAGTAAGCTGACCTGGTTTTATTTGCTCCTGTGGTTTGGCTGTATGTTCTTATTAGGCCAGAAATCACTGACAGGGGCTGCAGGTACCTCTCTGGCACATGAAGTGGTGCTCTGCAAATAAAAACTGACATACAAATGTTTGAAGCTGTATTGAACATTTGAAGCTGTATTGTCTTACTGACACCAACAAGTAATATGTAATTTTTATTTTTTTTTTTAATCAAGAGATCTCTGTGATGGGTTTTTCTCCTTCCTGAGAAGGAATGGTAATGATTTACTAACACTTGGTTTGCCATCTTGCCGCTTTCTACTTTCTGAATACTAAAAATGCAACAGCCAAATTCTTGGCAGCTGCTGTAGAGATGAGCAGAACTGAAGGGGAGCTACTGGTCTGTCTTGTAACTGCCCAGGTACTGGATGGGGCTTCTGCTGCACAGGGTATTTTGGAAAGGTGCAATATGTTATATATTGGGTGGATTTCTAATGTATTACGATTTTTTTAAAAACAATATTATTTTTGTAAGGGGGGAAATGGCACAGTCACTTTTTGATAGCTTTATGCTATATATATCTCTACTTTTTTATACTGTTTTTCCAAAAGATTTTTATTGGCAGAATATTTGTTAGTCTTTCAGTCAATGTTCTGAATGAGCTGGGGTGGATAGGGATGATGCCTTATGTTGCAAACAGTTCTCAAAAGACCTAGAGGGCCTCTTATACCTCTCACAGGAAAAATTGCAGTCATAGCTCATCTTATTTGATATAAAGACAGACTGTGCTCCCTGTGCTGCACTGAAACCCACTGATGTGACCTGATGGAGAACTGAGTGTGTGGAGACAGTGGCTGTTTGTAAATGAATTGGCCTCAAGCTGAGATGTGAGAGGAGCTTGTCTGTGGTGTTGCTGTATCACACTTGAATATGTTTTCCCAATGACTATTCTTGTATGAAACTTCTCAATAAAGTGATTTCAGACTTAGCCTGTGTTTGTTTTAATTCTAAATCTCTGACTCAGAGAAGATCTAATGAATCACCTTCCTGGTGAGTACCAAGGTGTGGTTTGAGCCTCCTAAATCCTGCATCTTTCTGTTCCCTAGGAGCACTGCTGGGGGTTTGCTCTCTGTGTATCTTTGTCTCTCCAGTAGGATGGAGAACCCCTGTAGAGTGCTTTGGCAGTGTCTCCTCTTGTGAGGCTAAGACACAATACCAAACCAAGCTGTTTGCCAAGCTTTGTTCTTGCCTTGTTGGGGAAAGCTCTGAGTACCTCCAGGGTGAAGATTGCACTATCAGCATTTGATTGCCCCATTCCACGTTTTACCACTTTTCTTCCTGGGAATATAGGGTATTTTCTTAACTAGTTGAAGTGTTCCTATTGGAACTTGTGCCTCCTGGTTTGGTGTTTTTGTTTGGGGTTTTTTTGGTGTTTTGTTTTCGTTGTTTTTTTTTTTGTTTTTTTTTTACTGCACAGCCCTGAGAGGAGTCTTGTTCAATGAGTTAAAACATCAATACTCATTCTTCTCTGCAGGCTGAGACTGAAAGTCCCTCAGTATTTTGTGAGCACAGAAGCATGGAGGGAATGAGTTCCCTGGTCTGTGTCATCACTCACTGCCAGGGGGTGGCAGTGCCCCCAGGGGTCTCTTTGGCAGCATTACTCTAGATGAGCTGGTACTTGTTCTCTGGACTCTGTTATCCTGGCAATGTGGGCATTCCTGAGCAGGAATGATGTGGTTCTGTGATCTTCTGCAGCTACCCTTTGCTAGAAAAGAGTTCAGTGATCAATGTACACCTTTCTGAAAATCCTGGTTTTGGCTGGGTCTTGTGGCCTCAAAAGCAAATGAAGTGGAGGACTAGAGCCAAAGAGCATCTTAGAGCAAACACAAGGGGCATTGGAGTGCACTGGGAGTAAGGGCATAGGATTGGTGTCAAGTGAAATGCTGCCATCCATCCCTGAGATCAAAGTCTCAGTGTTCATGCTGGCCATTCTGTATCCCATGTTACATTATGGTGAACGAATTTGCACGGGAGAGCTCCTAACTAGGTCCAAGGCTGAGCCTCTGGTAGGGGAGCATGGGTGTCTGTGCTTTAAATACCTCCTTTCCTGCCCCAGAGGGATGAGCTAATTGCCTGCCCTGTGTAGGACGGGAAAGGGAAATGGTTTTTCACAACTGATGCTTAGCTAATATCCCACATTCTGCCCCAAGGCATGTCAGAGCAGAGGATCTCAACAGCAGCAGTGGTGGTTTAGTCGTCAACAGCAGGTCCTTAGGGCAAGGCTGTGCTCTGCTAATCCAAATTGTCATTCCATTCTCTGTATCCAGGGAGGCAACAATGAATTATTGCTCCAAAACAATCAGCTGTGAGAGTCAACAGATACCAGCCTTGTTGTGTGTGGAATTCACCCAAGCATCATAACCTTGACCTGAGGCGTGTGAAGGACCAGGAATAAAAGCGGCTCCTCCCGGGCCCTCTGCAGGACCAGCTGTGCCTGCAGTGTGACAGTCCCTCGGGTGCCCCTGAGTGCTTCCAGCCCCTGCAGTGTGACAGTCCCTCGGGTGTCCCTGAGTGCTTCCAGCCCCTGCAGTGTGACAGTCCCTGGGGTGCCCCTGAGTGCTTCCAGCCCCTGCAGTGTGACAGTCCCTGGGGTGCCCCTGAGTGCTTCCAGCCCCTGCAGTGTGACAGTCCCTCGGGGGACCCTGAGTGCTTCCAGCCCCTGCAGTGTGACAGTCCCTCGGGGGACCCTGAGTGCTTCCAGCCCCCTTCCCACTGCTGCTGAGGCCAGCCCGGAGGTGAGCAGAGAGTCAGCTGGTGTTTAACAGGGGAGAGCACTCTGCCCACTCTGCCTGTTCCTGTCCCCTGCAGGTCACCCAGTGTCCTCTGTGCTGTGGCCAGGGGACAGAGCAGGTCAGCCAGGGAGGCCATGAGCAACTCCCTGCTCAGCTCACTTTGGGTAGAGCAGGTTGTTTTTTTCATCCAGACCTCTGGCTGCCTCTAAGAGATCCATCACTCTGCAACAAGAGCTTCATTTCAGGCCCCCATTTTCTGTCCAATGCTCCTCAGCCTCTTTGGGTCCCTATTTGTGTGTCCTTGCAGAACAAGCTCCTGAGACCTGCTGGTACTTGCCAAGAACGATGGGAAATGATGTCCCCAGAACCAAAACAAAGGTTTGAAGTTTGTCTTGAAGTTTACAAGACAAAAAATAATTGTGGTTTTCTAATTTTATTGTGCTTGTGAGTCTTGCAGTCAGGGCTGATGTGTTTTAGACTCGCCTGCAGGTGTGGCAGAACTGACTGTACAAGTCTGGACTCAGGTACCTTTTATTATGCAATTAACCTGCAAACTTACTGCTTCTGCTTTTTGCTTTGGTGAGGATCTTATGAGATGTCAGAGCATGTTCATTGTGAGCTTTTGCTTCTTAAGTGAGGGAAGGGTAGCTTCTTTTTAAAAGAAGCCATCTTTTATGTATCACCTGAATTGAAATTATTTCAGTGAAATAATCTTGGGAACCCCATTGGTTGTTCAGCATTCACTCTTTTGGCTGCACTTCTGTCTTTGAGAGCAGGACTAAACCCAACCACATCTTGTCCAGACCGCTCTATCTAAGAGTTCTGTAGAGCATTATGGTGTATTGAAAGTCTGATGATTGCCTAGGGCCCCTAGGGAGCTGTCAGGCTGGTGCAGACTGCGGTGGCTTAAATTAACCTGCTTTAGTTGTGAAATACAGATATTTGTGGGCAGGCCAGCAGCCAGCACACCAGTGCTGACTGACAGCTCTGGGGGTCACACTGAGCTGCTGTAACTGGGGGCACTTGGGGAGTGGAGGGTGTGGGGGGGTCTTCCAGCAGAAGGGGTTTCCAGTGGAACCAAACCTGGCAGCTCCAGGGGAAAAATATCTGACTTCCAGGGCTCTGAAGCAACCTGTGAAGGTTGAAAAGGTCCTGGCTAGAGTGGTTAAGTGGGGAGGAAGAAAAGGGAGGGCAAATTTTGTTGCTGTTGTTGGCTGGCTCCTGCCTTCTGCCAGAGCCTGGAAGGCTGCACGGACCCACTGTCCAGGAAGAGTTTCCTTTGCCATTCATGGGGACAAACCTGGAGCCTCTGCTGTGCAGCTCCCAGACAGAGATTCTGCTCTGGCACGAGAAGGAAAATCTCTCCCAGCTTTTGTGCCCTTGGCTAGAGGGACATCCCCTCTGCCCGGGTGGGCACCTGTTACCCAGCCTGGCTGGGAGAAGGAGCTGCAAACACGTCGATTTACAGGAGCAGAGCAGGCAGCTCTCAGGAACTTTTGTGAGGGAAGCAGAATGGATTTTGTTTTCCAGGCTAGTTTTTTCTGGTTGCATTCATTTCTTGGAAGTGCTGTCAATAGTTCTCCCAGCAAGCTGGGAACAAAGGAAAGGAGGGGAATCCCAGGGCAGGCAGCACCCACTGCACAGGCAGGGTGGCCCTGCTCCATAACCAGCATTGCTGCCAGCAGGGAAACCTGGGCTGGAAGCTGAAAGAACCCCTCACTGAATATGTTTACCCCACAGGTGAATTCCCACATGTCTGTCTCACTGAAAGTGAAGGGGCTGGGGAACAACTACAGGAACCCCCTCTGTGAACTGGGCCCCCACTGCCAAGGGCTGCAGTCCCCGTGGCCAAGCTGGGGGTTGGATTCAGCCCCACAATCTCCAGGGGAAACAGAGCCCCTTTGGCCACAGCCTGAGACCGGGGCCGGGTCAGAGGGGCTGTGCTCAGTGAGATGGCAGCTGATGAGCTGGGAATGCAGAGACAGTTCAGCAGGGGTTGGGAGCGTGTAAAGTTACTGCTGAGGACAAAGTGCTGATTTTGGGATATTATATTGGATCAGTTTCCAAATTTGAGTTGGGCTTTTATATCCCACTGAACCCTCTGCCAAGGAGGCAAACTTTAACCAGAGGGCAAGCAAAGGGCAGGATGGAATCATTCCTTTAATGGCAAATAAATAGAAAATTAGGAGAGCTGTACATTTTTATGAGACCACAGACACAGTTTTAGGCCTAAAACATTCATTCTTTTTGAGAGCCAGCCCAGTGGAGCAAACCTCATTTGCAACTTGGCATTGACACCCCAGTTATTCAGCATTACCGTAACTCCAGGTCAGCAGAGACCTCAGAGGCACAGATACCTTTCAAAGCTCATAAACCAGCCAACAGATCTTTCTTCTGAAAATCCCAGGGAATTTGTATGTCAGAGAAAAAAATCCTTGGCGTTTTCCTGGGGTAATAATGGACTTTTCAGTTTAAGCATTAAGATCCAGCAAAACCAAGCAAATGGCAGAGTGGTGGGATGCTGAATGCAGATGCCCCAGTGGCTGCAGTGCCCAGAGCCCCACAGGCTCTGCCCATCCCTCCCAGGGCATCCTGCCTGGGGACCAGCAGGGACACAGCAGGGCCTTGTCCAGCTGGGAGGAATAGGGGAATGTGTGATGGACGTGGTGACGCAGGGTCAGGGGAGAGGTTTGTCTTTCCAGGCTGCAAAGGTGGCTGCAAATAAAATGAACGATGGGTCAAATTGCACAAGGTCAACGTGGCAGTGTTGTTACCAAGCAAACCTGAACTGGTGGAAAGTCTATGCCATGTGAATCCCTCATGCTGTGCAGCTGAGGTTTCTTTTCCTTCTTTTCCTCTGATGTGGTTGCTGGGATGCCAGGGTGGATTCACTGTCTGATTGACCCGCAGCCTGGCAGGGGAGGCAGTGCCAGCAGGTGCTGCCCTGCGGGGGCTGCAGGGATCTCACAGCTCTGTGGGTGCAATGTGCTGTGGGTCACTCCCACGAGGGTGGTGGGTGCCAGCCCTGCCTGGAGCTGGCAGCCCTCCCCAGGGCACGGGTGGGTGTCTGTGTGGGTCTGTGGGCCACGAGGATGGGAGAGGTTTGGCAGGTCTCACCTCCTCCTCCAAGGAAAAGGAAACTGGAGATGCAGGGTATCCACTCCCCAGTTTTCCTGCAGCCAGCGGGGAAGGATGG